GATTTCACAAGTTTCAAAATCTCCCCTCCCCCTACCGCATCCCAAAACCAGTCCAGCTCGTCCCTGCCTCCCTAACCTGTTCTTCCTCCCACCTATCCCCTCCTCCCACCTCAAGCCGCACCTCCATCTCCTACCGACCAACCTCATCCCGCCCCCTTGACCTGTCCGTCCTCCCTGGACTGATCTATCCCCTTCCTAACTCCCCACCTACACTCACCTTTACTGGCTCCATCCCCGCCTCTTCAACCTGTTTGTTTCCTCTCCACCTATCCTCTCCTCTATCCCTCTTCTATCCGCCTCCCACTCTCTCCCTATTTATTTCGGAACCCCCTTCCCCTCCCCCTTTTCTGATGAAGGGTCTAGGCCCGAAACGTCAGCCTCTCTACTCCTATGATGCTGCTTGGCCTGCTGTGTTCATCCAGCCCTGCACCTTGTTGTCTCGGATTCTCCAGCATCTGCAGTTCCTACTATCTCTGATCCAATGTACCAGGTATGACTCCAACCAGCAGAGAATTTGCCCTCTGACACCCAATGATTCCAGTTTTGCTAGGGCTTCTTTATGCCACATACAGTCAAATGCAGCCTTGATGTCAAAGGCTATCATTTACTTCTCCTCTGGAATTACGCTCTTTTGTCCATGTTTGAACCAATGCTGTAATGAGGTCAGGAGCTGAGTGGTCCTGGCAGAACCCAAACCGGGCATCACTGAGCAGGTGCTGCTTGAAAGCAGTGCTGACGACAGCTTCCACCACTTCGCAGATGATCAAGAGTGGGTGGATGGGCAGTGACTGGCTGGGTTAGATTTATCCTGCTTTTTCTGTACAGCACAAATCTGGATAATTGTTCTGAGGAAGGGTCACCGGACCCGAAACGTTAGCTCTGTTTTCTCCTCCACAGATGCTGCCAGACCTGCTGAGCTTTTCCAGCAACTTTGTTTTTGTTCCTGATTTACAGCATCCGCAGTTCTTTTGGTTTTTAATTGTCAGGTAGATGCCAGCGTTGTAACTGTACTGGAAGAGCTTGGCTAGAGGAGTAGCAAGTTCTGGAGCACAAGTCTTCAGTATTATTGCAGGAATGTTGTCAGAGGTCATAGTCTGCAGTGTCCAGTGCTTCCAACTGTTTCTTGTTATCAAGTTGAGTGAACTGAATTAGCGAAATACTGGTATTTGTGATGTCAGGGTACACTGGAGGACGAGATGGATCATCCACTCAGCACTTGTGGCTGAAGATTGCAACGAATGCTTACCCTTAACTTTTGCACTGATATGTTCAGCTCTTCCATCATGGAGAATGGCAATATTTGTGGACCCTCCACCAGTGAGTTGCTTAACTGTCCACTTCCATTCACAACTGGATATGGTAGGACTTCACAGCTTAGACATGATTCTGTTGGTCACTTAGCTCTGTCTACCACTTGCTGTTTATTCCGTTTGGCATGCAAATAGTCCTGTTTGGTCGCTTCACCAGGTTGACACCTCATTTTCAGGTATGCCTGATGCTGCTTCTGGCACACTCTTCTGCAATCTCCATTGAACCAAAATTGATTCCTGGCTTGACTGTAGTGATTCAACAGTTCTTTAGGCTGGAGAAAGGAATACAGTGAGGTTCCCAAAGGTTAGCCCTGCTCTTCCTGATCTATATTAATAACCTAGTCTTATGAATATAAGACAATTTCAAAATTAGAAAATGGCATAAAACATGGCTGTATTGCAAACTGTAGGAAGATTAGTGATGAATGTCAAGAGGACACAGGCTGGTGGAATGGGCAGAGAAGTGGCAGATGAAGTTTATAAGTGTAAAGTGATTCATTTTGATCAAAATAACAAAATAAAATCCAACTTCTAAAGGGAAAGCAGAACAGAGGAATTTGGGGGTGCACATGCACAAATCACTGAAGATGGTAGACAGGTTAAGAAAGTGATTAACAAATAGTGTGGAATTCTGAGCTTCATATATAAAATGCATAAAACGCATGGAAGTTACGACAAATACACAGTTCAGCCTAATCTGGAGCAGAATCCAGTTCTCGTGGCCACACTTTAGGAAGGTTTGAAGAAGCAGAAAAAAATTTCACGAGAATGTTTCCAGAACATAGCTTGGAAAAGCTGGAGCTGTTGGAATAGTAAAGATTTGATAGGGATATTCAAAACTACAAGTGGTCTGGTTTGAGTAGATAGAGGCACTGTTCCCAATGGTGGAAGAATCAAGAACCAGAGGACTTTACTGCCATGCAGGATAAATATCCACTATAAATAAAAACGAGTGACAGTAATGTTCCACAAGTGAGTTAATAAAAAAAATTCCTTTGAAATGGTAATCTTGTGAAACAATCTGATAAGTGTAAGATCAAAAGGTAGGTAAGAATCTTAAGTTGTCAGCATCAGTAGACATAACCATTACACAAGCCTTGTGGAGACAAAGTCCCATCTTTAAAACAAGAATATCCTATATCGTGAAGTGTGGCACTCCCACTGTGTAAAACAGATTTATTAACTCAAATTTGCATACCTATGAGGCATGACCTAGAATGATCTGTTGTAGAATTATATTCAATCATAATCTGTAACCTCATAGCCTTATATATTATCCACTCTACTATTTCCATCAAGTTGGGAGATCATCAACTCAGAGCACAGAAACAAGCTCTTCAGTCCAAAATGTCCATGCCAAGTAAACATCCCAATGTGACCTACTCCCATTTGCTAGCATGTGGCACAATTCCCTCTAAACCCTTCCTATTCATTTACCCATCCAGATGCCTTTTAAATGTTGTAATTGTATCCACCTCCACCACTTCCTCTGGCAGCTTGTTCCATACACGCACCAACCTCTGCATGAAAAAGTTAGCCCTCAGGTCCTTTCTAAATCTTGCCCCTCTCACCTTAAACCTATGCCCTCTAGTTTTGAATACCCTCATCCTAGGAAAAAGACCTTGGCTATTCAGCCTTTCCACGCACTTCATGATTTTATAAACCTCAATAAGGTCACTCCTCAGCCTCAGATGCTCCAGGGAAAAAAATCCCCAGCCTATTCAGCTTTTCCCACAACTCAAACTTGCCAGTCCAGGCAATTGAAGTAGTTTGAATTTATAAGCCACAAAACCTGGACAAGTTTTGTCTCAGGCTTGACAGCTGGTAAGTGGCAAGAGGGGGGAAGACGATGGCTTAGTGGAATTATCACTGTACGGTTAATCCAGAGACCCAGATAATGTTCTGGGGACCTGGGCTCGAATCCCACTATGGCAGATGGTGGAATTTGAATTCAGTAAATATCTGGAATTAAGAGTCTAATGATGATCGTGAATCCATTGTCGATTGTCGGAAAAACCATCTGGTCCTTTAGGGAAGGAAACTGCCATCCTTACCTGGTCTGGCCTACATGCGACTCCAGAACCACAGCAATGTGGTTGATTCTTAACTGCCCTCTGGGCAATTAGGGATGGGCAATAAATGCTGCCTAGCCAACGACACCCTCATCCCGTGAATGAATAAAGAAAGAAAGGAAGAAACATCCACACTACCCAAGTGCCAGGCAACAGCCATCTCCACAAAGGAAAATGTAACCACTGCCCTTGACATTTACCGCCTGTGCATTACTGTTGCTGAATCACCACTGTCAAAATCTGATCCAACAATGCCTTGGTTTGGAATTCTCGTCCCACAACACAGAGCAAGAAAACATGGGCTGAGGTGTCACCTGCGATGTGATTGGAGCTAGGGAGCAATAACCCTAATGCTTAAGCAGGTTACTAGAGTGTGTAAATTTAAAAAAAAACTTGCATTTATATAACATCTTTTCTGATTTTAAGTTATCTAAATATTTTCCACAGTTAAAAATTCCAGCATTTAATCTGCACACAGCAAGATCCCAAGAACAGCAATGTGATAATGACCATATAATCTGTCTTACTGTTGGTGGTTGAAGGATAAATATTGGTGAGGACATCAAGACAGAGTCCCCTGTTTCTCTTAGAATCATACCATAACTATCTTTATACCCACCTAAGTGTCTCGTGTGTAACAAATTGCTGCAATTTCTTGACTGAGGTTTAAAGCCATAGACTCAAAAGGGGCTACAATTAATACATTGCAGACCATTTCCTTTACATACACAATGCCTTTGATGTCTGTTTTGTATGGACATTCTCTCACCTCCACTGGACACATCTGCTTCTTCCAGTTTACCAGTAAGATTCAGGCACATGGCAAACCCCACCCAGGGATTTGTATCTCATTGTGACCCACATCAAAGCCCAAAGAATGTGTAATTTCTCACCTCACTGTCTCCTTCCTGTCCACCAACAATCTTCAGGTTCTTAACCCCAGTCAGTGCTCCCCTGCTGCACTCGAGGACCTGCATTCACTCACGCATCACATCTGCGCGTTTGAACAATGGAGCGCGGGACAGGAAAGTGTTGCCCCTGACCTGCTTTACCTGGATCCAGGCAGGTGAATTTGCAGCATTCCTTTGGGTCCTTTTCATAGTGTTGACAGCCTTGGGGCCGCTCACACAGAGCTGCCACACACATTTCTGGTTCACCATTGTGGCAGGTGCAGCTCAAACATGGGTCGTTCCCCTTTGGAGTGAAATACTTGCCCTCATCCACCACGTTATCTTTTATATCCACACAGGTTTGACCTAGAAGACAGGCATGTAGTGAGAGGCAAGTTACCCATTACGAAGTTGTAATCCTGTCAATTAAACCTCATTATTTAGAACAGCCCAATGTTCTTCTCATCCATGAAAGTTATGAGAGCTGTGCAGGACATTTGGAGAAAAGGCAATGTGCTTAGGTACAATACCGCAACTTCAATTAGCTAGGTATTGAGTTCCCAGCTCAGTGCATCCAGACCTATAAGCCAGTTACAGTATCACCACAGAGACTGCAAGAGCTGATGTAAGTGCTAAGAATGTAAATCAGGGAAAGGCTGGAGGATGTTAAAAAGTCATGAACTAGATTAAAAACTGCTCACATTCAAAATAACAAGCCCAGAAAACACAGTATTTACTTTGACGCAATATCCATTGTCCACAGCACGTCAAGTATATACAATGGTCCTGCATACTGTCTAACCAAATTCACACTTCCAGTATGAACTTCAAGTAGTTCAAGTTCTCTCTCTCAAAATTCAGTAATTTTGTTTACATTTTAGTAAGCTCTCCAACCCTTGCAGTGTTAAACATGGTCACGTTCTGATTACTGTATGTAAGTCTCTCCTGTCTCTCTGGAGATTTGGCTGGCCTCTGCTTCAGTCAAATACAGGGTGTTTAACTTTCCTTGTTTGCTCTTTCGTAAAATGTCTTTTCATAAACTCATCATATTCTTCCTGAGTTCCCACCCCCACTGGTGCTTCCTTCTTGCTTATTTTAGAATCTCCATGTCAGACATCACATCTGATCCGAACAATTGTATCTGAGTCCGTGCTGAGGCTGGGAGTCTACAATGACTTCATTCAAGGCGTGGGAAGTAAGAAGAAAGAAGGGAAAATCAACACGAAGAGAGAGGAAAAAAAAAGTATATGGAGCAGATGACCTCCAGCTGTGGAGTCCTACTCTGGCACTGGCTTGTTAGATAACTTTTTATTTATTTATCTAATTTATTCCTAAGATTCTGTACTTTTGTACTCAAGATAGTGTGAAAGTCTGCACTGCTGGGCTTTTTATTTCTTCATTTTTCGCTGTTTTCCCTTACAATTTGTACTTAAAAATCTGTACTTAGTGCCACTGTACCTAAGACGGCGCCGTAAGTAGCAGCTTATAAACTTTTCACTGTACTCATGCGAGTTATGCGAGGAGTCAGAGAAAATGAGTGAGATTCTTAATGAGTACTTTACGTCGGTATTCACTGAGAAGAGGGACATGACGGATGTCAAGGTTAGGGATAGATGTTTGATTACTCTAGGTCAAGTTGGCATAAGG